CCCCTGGTGCAGGTCGCAGACCTTGAACGCGGAGGTAAACCGAGACGGCCGTCACGTTGCGCGCTGTGTGACGAGCTCGCTCTGTTTTTAAAAGCGACCACCCGCCTCTGGAAGCCCCGCGTCTCCGCTAGAAGGAGTCCGGGAGGAGCTCCTGACCCGACTTTGCAGGAACAGCGGGTCTGCTACGGTTTCGATAAATTCTCCGCTTTTTCTACGCATTTTAAAGCAGAATTATAATCATATCATCTGGTTTGTGATCTGGCGTTCACATTTAACCCATTGCTATGGGGTTAAATATTAAGCATGATTTTTAACAGTGCAAAATATGCCATCCTTTTCGACACGTCAAAATTAAATCAAGCTCTTCTTATATCTATATAGATTGTATTATAATCTACATTGAAAATCATAAAAAACACAAAGTAGCTAAATTCCTAACTAGGCTGTTTAGCTAGATTCTTAGGAGCTGATTTGTTCGTTGAAAAGTAACAATCTTGCTTCACATTGTCAACTGTTTTCCAGAAGCGACCACTCTTTTAGACCTCTGTGCTGTGCAGCCATGTGCCCGGCTCAGGCCTGGCCTTTCCCTAAGGGGGAACGCGGGTCACCTCCGTGTCTAAACGGTACCACAGAGCCCACAGCTGAGAGAAGGCAGCGTCTGGGTGAGGGTGGCCGGCAGGGCTGAGGGCCGTTGGCACAGCTGACCCCAGTTGCTGGCGAATCATAGGGGCTAACACAGAAATATTTGAAGAAAGGCAGGCTAGAGCAATCTGCCCGTTACAACGGTGTCGGATGCGGTAAACCGGTCATGGGTGCGTGTGTGCGTGTGTGCATGTGTGTCACCAGCAGGTCTGGCGTCAGCAGCCACGGGACACGTGGGGCTGGCGGTGGAAAGACACTGCACAGTCATGATCACCCCAGTGGAAAGCGTGCACAGCAGCCTGTGCCCGAGTCCCCTGGGACTGTCTGCTCGTGCTGTGCGGGGCTGTCGGCCGGCACCGCGGGAGGAGGGCACGTCCCCAGGTACCCACGGCCAGCGTGTGGGAGCCAGAGAAGGCAGCCACGCCCCCCCATGGGAACCGCTTGCGGTCACTCTGCAGACGCGCAGTGCTGAGGCCCCCTCCTCCCCAGTCCCCCGTGCTGGTCTGCTCCTGGGGGCCAAACACCTGCTCCCAGGGGCGATGGGGCGGGGGGTGGGGGACGTCACCTTTAGGTAGCGGTTTGCGGTGGCCGCCTCGTTGGCGGTGACCCACTCGCCGGAGTCGCCTTCCCGGTAGTCCACCAAGTAGCCAGACACGGGGCTGCCGCCGGTGTACACGGGCGCTTTCCACAGCAAGACCAGCGACGAGTCCCTCACCTCGCAGAACGTCAGGTCGTAGGCAGGGCCTGGAACGGGTCGTCCGTGGGCGCGTGCACGCGGACCGCCACGG